CTGATAATACCCTGAAATCCTAAGTGGGCTTAACTTCTGGAGAAAAATACCAAACCCACTAAATTTCTAAAATTTATGCTGGAATCCCAATCGGGCCTCCATTTATTGCCATCTACCCTAACTGGAGACTGAATTCTGGCTTCACAAAATTCGACTATTCCAATAACTTAAGAAAATGACAAAAAAAAATCACAACAAGCACACAGTAGTAACTTCTCAGAGTCCGTGATGGCTCTCCAACCTTAAAGGTCCATGGAAAGAGAGAGCCACTGGAATTATTTATTCTTATATAGGAGATACACAAGGGGAAGTTCCATGGACCATTCTATCCCCAAAAGAACAAAGGGTTAGGATTACAAAGGAACAGGTGAGTGTAACTCAACCTCAGTGGGTAACACCTACTCCTGGAGGCATACCTTGTTATCCTAGCTGGGGGAACTCCAAAGTTACTGTGACCTGGGACTACCATGCCAGACTAAAGACAGTAATTGTTCAGAACCTGGTGCATCAGAAATTGAAGGGATCTGCATCCAGGGCAGTTCCTGACAGTCTGTACCATGGTGTTATCTAAGAATTTCTTTATTTCTATCACATTAACTAGTTATGCCAATTAAATTTTAAGCTACTACAAAAGTAATATCACATTCTCTATTAATATATAATCTCCCTGAAAATTATTATATTCAGAAGCATATGCAATATAACACCTTGCTACATTTCTTATAGATCAAAATTTTCCTCAATAATGTATATTTTCCTGATATGCAAGGCATGCAAGTTACAGGGTTTTCTGCACACATTGTATGCATTAGGTTTTGATAGAGTATGCTTTTTAAAAAAATTTTGACTAAAGCTCTGATGTATCATTGGCATTTATAGGGCTTCTCTTTAATACTCAATCTGGAGATTTTTTAAGACGTGAACCTTCATTAAAAGCTTTGTCACATTGTTTACATTTGTAGGGTGTAATCACTACTATAATGTCTTTGATAATTTTTAAATGGTGAGTTTTGATTAAAACTTTGCCACATTTCTTTTTAGTATAGTAAGTTGTCTTTCTAGTATAAAATGTCTTGTGATCAATAAGGTGTGATTGTACATTAAATAACTTTTCATTTTATAAATTTCCAAAAATTCTCAACTATGAATTCTCTGGTACTTCATAACACTTGAAACATACTTAGAAACTCTGCCACATTCTTCACATTTGTATGGTTCTTCCCCAGTATAAATTTTCTGGTCAACGTTGAGGCTGGAAATTTGACTGAAAGTTTTGCCACATTCTTTATATTTGTATGGGTTCCCTCCAGTATAAATTCTCTGGTGACCTATAAGGCTTTGCCAAGAATGTAGGAATAAAAGAATCTTTACATTCTATGTCTTCTCCAGTATGAATTCTGTGGTGTTGTATAAGACGTGATCTTCGATTAAATGCTTTGCCACATTCTTTACAATTGTGTGGCTTCTCTCCAGTATGAATACTCTGGTGTATATTAAGATGTGATTTTCGATTAAAATCTTTACCACATTCTTTACATTTGTATGGCTTCTCTCCAGTATGAATTCTCTGGTGATCAGTAAGGGTTTTCTTGAGAGCAAAAGCTGTGCCGCATTCTGTACATTTGTATGGCTTCTCTCCAGTGTGAATTCTCTGGTGACGAGTAAGGGATGATGGTTGATTAAAAGCTTTGCCACACTCTTTACATTCATATGGCTTCTCTCCAGTATGAATTCTTTGGTGATGCATAAGGTGTGATTTTCGATTAAAATCTTTACCACATTCTTCACATTTGTATGGCCTCTCTCCAGTATGAATTCTTTGGTGACGAGAAAGGTGTGCTCTTTGATTAAAAGCTTTGCCACATTCTTTACATTTGTAGGGCTTCTCTCCAGTATGAATTATGTGATGTTCAGTAATGCTGTCAAGTTTATTTAAAGCTCTTTCACATTCCTTACATTGATAATTCTTTTCTTGGTTATGAAAGTTTGGATGGATACATTTTGAGCCTTTATGAAAAACTTTCTCACTTTTATTGTGTTCATAAACCTTCTTTTTAAAATGGTCACACTGATGTTTTCTAGGACTTAAAAAAAAGCATTAAATTTTGATGAGTTTCACAGAATTATACTGATTTACACAGAAATAAATATAGTGCTAATTACTTAGGGTACAGACCTGTCAAAAGATCTTGAATGATTTATCATAAATGTAGAGATCTAATTATCTATATCTAAATTTATCTTAAGCAATAGTAGGTAAGTACAAATCTTCCCACATTCATTAAAATTCCATGTTTTAGCACAAGGAAAAACTACACATCAGTCTTTTTGTAAAATAAGAATGAGATTGATCACAGTCAGAAATATGTTCTTTATTTTTTAACCTCTTGTCTATAGAAATGTTTAAGTGAATGTTTACTCAATGCTATATTTCAGAGTATTCCAGTAGCTAAATGAAACATAAACCGGACTCAGTAGCAAATATTGTCATTTATTTAGAGAAACCGTATAATTCTAATTAACTCTGTGGAGAAATATTTAAAGGTACACATATATCCTCAAAAGTGACTAATATATTTTCAGCTGCCTTCTTGGGTTCAGGGGAAGTTTCACATTCCCACAGCACTGCCACACACACCTCACCCACCAGCACCTGCTTCAGGCTGGTGGGGGCCTTGTTGAGCATGCATATGCTTTGGGTCATGGTCATGGCCCCATGAAGGGCCACAGCCAACTCCATGATGCAGAGGATTGATCCACTGCTGAGTCGGGCTGAAGTACCCCCCTGTTCATGGCACTGATGGTCAACCTTGCCCAATATACAGAAGAGCTACAGCTACATATTGCAAGAACTGCACTGCCTAGAACTCTAGGACAACCTGTACCTGGACACTCCTGAATGCTTTTGTTTTGTTATTGTCTACAGCAGAATCACTGTGAACTACTCAAGCAACTTGTCTTCCACCAAAGAGTGCTTTATAAACAAGAATCTGTGAAAACCACATTTAAACAGTGTTGCATGTTGTAATACCAAGTGGTAGTTAGTATTATACTGGCACTAAAAACGTGTCAGAGAAACTTTTATGAAAGCTTTAGACAAATCAGGAAGAAAAACTGATTTTTGAGTTGGAAGATGACTGCATGCCATTCCTTTAGGGACTGAAGTATTGGAAAGCTGTGCATGACTGGGTTGCCCAATCAGGAAAATTAAAATACTGTTTTCTTGTATGCATGAACACACACACACACACACACACACACACACACACACAGTTGGGTTTGGCCCCTGGAAAGAAAAATCCCATATTACATTGGCTTTAAGAACAAAAACATCAATAATTTTCAGAGTCTTTATTACCACTGTGTATTATTATTTCTGAGTAATCAGGTTAAAGCCATCCCAATAACAGTTGTTGCTTTTGGACTTCAGTTGTTTGCAGTGATGGCACTCTCTTCTGCCTTTTGTCAGAGAGTAACACTAGTAACTGTTAAGTGCCTAAGGATTCAGGCAGTTTCAAAATTCCGGTGACTAGATCACAGGAAGCAGTAGTTTTCTAACCCTGGAGGATAAAATGCCTAAGATCTGGGTGGGAGGTGAAACACTCCATTTGCTGTGTCACGCTGACACAATGTTAACCCCTTGAGCTATGCCCAGGAGTATATTATTGTGTCTCAAGTCCACCCTTGTAAAGGCCAGCTCCTCCCTAACTAGACCCAGTGGTTGCCAATCCACATGTCCATCTGAATCAGGCTTTTTCCTTTACCAGAATGAGTACATGTGCTGCACACCTTGGCTCATGCCAAGTTCTGGCCCCTCCTAGTGGACAAGCCAGCTGGTGTCTTGGCCAAAACCTTTAGTAACCATAATGCTTTTCTCTCAGTTGCCTTTCTGTGTTGGATTCTTAACTTTCTAGCAAAAATCACTATCACTATCTTGCTAAAAATCCCTATGTTTAACTAGCTAACCAAAATGAGAAAGAAGACACTTTGCATTTGTTGAAGGCACATTCCTTGGGATGGCCAGATAATTAGGGCTATGGACTCAGAATAATCTCATAACAACAGTATTAAGCTTACTGGAGACATGGATGTAATCCAGGAAGTCTCTGGATTTGACACTTCAAATGTTTTCCTTCCTATGTATAAGAGCAAACCCCATCCTACAAAACAAACAAACAACAACAACAAAAAACCCCCCACAAAATACGCAAATCTTTTCAGATTCCAACTTGGAGTTCTATTGAAGATGTTGTTGCTATGGAAAGTGAAGCAATCAGATGGAGGATTTTGCTAACTTATGAGCCTTTAAATAGCACTGAATGTACACAAGATCATTTCCAGTGGAATTAAAATTAGAAATGAATTTATAGATGCCCTTGACTCAAATTATCAAAAGTCAGGGAGAGTCCCAGAATGGAGTGTCTTCAAAAAATGTGCTTCTGAAAGTGTAGAAAAACTCATGATATGCCAAAGAGAGACTGGAACACTGTTCCCTACAGGGGAGATGGTTGATGGTGAGCCATGCCTCCTTCAAAGGTCACCTTACCTGCTAAGTATGGTGGTTTTAATTTTCTGCAGAATTTTCTGATTTACAAGCTTTAGTCTTTCACCTCCCCTAATCTGCCCCAACACCCATCCTGCTACTCCTTACCCAGAAGTGTTTTCTACCGCTTCGCTTGCACCCAGACTTATCTCAGAAGCCTTCCAAGTATTTTAATAAGGCCCCCAAGTCTGCTTTTGGGGCTTAATGCAGACCTGTAGGCCACAGGGACACTGGATATTCTGGGAGCCTTGTGCCAAGAATTCCGTGAGTCTTTCCTTTGCTTGAATTGCCATCCATGACAGATAAGGAATGCACTATTTTGTGTTTTCTAGAAAGACCTAGTGGCTTCTCCTCCTCTTCGTCTCGTTTCATTTAAAAAGCAATGATTATCAAACTTCCACCTAAAAAAATATTTAATTACTGAATAGTTCTTGTCAACTGAAATGAACTAGTGAAACTCGCTGTTATTCTTCCATTTTTCCATAATCTGAGTGTTTTCCATGTCTATAAGTGGAAATACTATAGGTGTGTTTAAAACAGAAACATTTCACCTATACTGTGTAGAAAATTACTTTTTTATCACACCATAGAATTTTCAGATTGGAGAACTGCAGTATTATATTAATAATTTGCAGACATTAGTCTAATGTGCACTCATGCACAGATTAGTAATCATTTTTAAAAATAACTAATCAGTATTTAATCATTGTTTTCATTTTTTATTTAAATAAATATTTCTAATCATATTTTTAAAGCTGAGAGAACTGGCTGAATGATTATTTTTTGAAGGTATTTTGAAGATAGTTTCATAATGGCCTGAAATGTTGCTTGTATACGTGGTTTGACACATATTGTCACTTTGAGGAGTTTTCTGAGATGTTATATAATAACATAAACTGACTTCATTTTAAAAAATCATCATGCATTTGTTACGTTCATTAAGATAAATTACTGACCTTCCCTCTGTCCCACAATTTTCCATTCCTTCTTTAAAAGTAAATTTTTATTGTCATAGTTTCCATACCTTCCATTTATCATGGTTTGCCATAAATAGTTTATTCCTTGCTCTGCTGAAGTTTCTAGCATTTGATGAGGAGACATTCCTGAAAGAAATTAAAATAACAAATTAATCCACTTTTAGACTGTGGTGAATATACTCACTCTGCAAATATATAAAATTTTACCAAGGTCAGGAAAATATCCATAAGCAGTATAATCTAAGCCCATTATTACTAAAGAAATATACAAAATCCACACTGAAATGATGACAAACTTGTGAGCACTTCCAAAATGATCTTGAGATTTCACAGGAACACAACACTCAAACTTTGACTATGCTGTGACAACACTGTCAAATTACAGCCTCTCAGTCCAACTTTTTCAGATTCCACATGTGAC